TCATCCTAAGATTTTTTTTCTCTCATACAAAATTCACAAAGCGTGTCGCATACTTCCAGATACAAAGCAACTCCTTTTTTTTTTTTTTTTTTTTCCTCTTCCCTTTCTCTCCCTATTCATCCATACAATGTTTGTGATTTTTAATACCCTCTGCCCTCCACTCATCATTACTATTATGCACACCCACCATATGAGTGGTGTTCTCCCTGCTGTGTTAATTGTGTTATGTCACACTTAAAAACTAAAAATGACCATAAATGCTAAATTAACTGAACATACATTTTTTTTAAAAGCCACTGAGAACACACATATCTAAAATAAATTTCCTACAGGACAAAAGATTAATGTATAAAGACTCTTAGCTGCTGCTGGAGAGAAACAGTTTATACTGCGCAGCACAGACACCAGGGAAAATGCTGACTGTAAGGTAATCTCATGTTATCAGACTAGACTCAAGTTGAACAAGTGTCACAGATAAAATGAACATATTCAGAACAGGGAACGAGTAATAATCTGCACAATGTAAGCAGAGGCAGAAAAGAAATACTCAGGTTTTTACTCAGGTTTCTCTTTTTTTTTTGTCCCAATGTTAAAAATTCTGAATCTCAATAAGGCTCTCAGGTAATATAACTGATATGTGATAGTGCAAAGACACATCTACTAGTGGGAGACATATCGTCACCTGTCAGTTACACTCCGTTAACTTGCTGCTTATATTTACCTTGCAGGACGGCGACCAGTCCAGTGCTGACCCCGGACACGATGTCACTGAGCAGCCACTCTTTGACCTGATAGATTTTCAACCAACCAATTACCGGCAGGAGAGAGAGCACCGCATTCTTGGCTCGCCTGGCATCACATCTGCAATGATGAACAGAAACAACAAGAATAGATGGATCAGTCGGTGGCATCATTCGATGAATTTCAAACAAAGCAGAGGTAAGATCTGACCAAGGACACGGTGATTGGTGTCGACTCACTTCATGATCATAAAGGTCCTGAAAATGAGTCCAGCTTTAGTTAGTTGTTCTTTTGATAATTTTTACCTTACTCCACTTTATTATTCTGTTCTCCTGAGTTGTAATTTATTAAACTAGCCAAAAATGTATAATGTAGGAAAAATAAAAATGGTACATATTCACAAGAATAAGCCAGAAACATAATCAGTAATAGTGTGGTTCATTCCAATGCACAATGAGTGCTTTTACTTTTGGTACTTAAGATATAAATTCCTCATGAACATTGCTAACTGATGAGCAAGTATTTGATTACAGAATATACCTGTAGCATTGTTGTATACATATGAATACTGAATATTTCTTCCTCTGTGGTCTTCATATACTCATGTGACTTAGATAAATGAGTGAGTCACACTTGTAATAGCAAATGGATTTGTGGTTTATTTAAGATGATGAAACTCACCAAAACCCTGAGAAACAGAAACACTCAGCTAAAGCATCTAATTTTTGGGAATAACAGGAAAAATACCTGTAGCATTGTTGTATACATATGAATACTGAATATTTCTTCCTCTGTGGTCTTCATATACTCATGTGACTTAGATAAATGAGTGAGTCACNAATTAACTTATTGTTATTTATTTCAAACCATTTTATGAAAGACATGTCATTTTTCTTATTTATTTAAATGCTTCGTTTGTCCTGGACGGTGCCAAAGTGGAGCAATTTCTCATGAAAAACATCTTACTCCATAACTGCTAAACACACACATCCTAAAAATGCTTCTTCGCTTCACTTAGATTCCAGGGTTTCTCAATTCATGAGTCCAAAACAAATCTAAAATAGGAAAAGTTAAAGGAGACGGAGGAGGGGACCAATAGAAGATGTAGATTGAAGTGATCTGTTGTTTTGAGTGTTCTTAGGGACGGCAGGGTAGATTTTTATTTTATTTTGGGACAATTCACCTCATTTTCACCCACTCGTGAAGTCAGGGGACTTCAGATGTTGCTCTCTCCTCATCATCCACGTCATTTTACTGTATGTTTACAAAGAGACTGCTGTTTATTTTCAAAGTAAATGAAATAATCCAGAATCGCCATGATTCCTGATCTACCGTCACACCAGTCGTCTCTCTGAGGATCTGTAGGTGCCTTTCAGGATCTATCCTTTGAGTCACGGAGTACAGAAGCTGCTAGAATACCTGCCCATCAGCGTCCGTTACCCGAAACCTCATTCTGGCCTCGCACCAAGTCTGAGCAAAGGCTTTGCAGCGGTTACCGTCCCAATAGGCTTTAAAGTTCACGGGACGGCCTGTGTATCTGCCTCGGCTCTGACAGACAGGTCTTACTCCCTGAAAAGGGGATTTGAAATCAATCCTCTCATTTGAGTCTTAACCAAATATCCCCTACGGCAAAGGCATTTTTGGTGACAGCAGTTTAAGGACGATCTAGCTACTGTAAACTGATGTAAATATCTGAAGAGGAGACGTTTCCACAGGAGAATACGAAGACAATGGGTCGGCTCAGTTTCTTTCTACATACATCTGTAAGTTTATTCCCAAACTTGAGCAGAAATATACATCCAGGAAAACAGGAGGCTCTTTAAAGGCATGTTGCTGTGCCCATCGAGACCCGTGGTTTTAAGTGGAACAAAGAGAGCCCTCGGGTGGGTCTTGATGTTAGCACGGATTAGGGACCAAGGTATCTGTGCCCACCCAGCAGCAAGCAAGCCAGCTTTACTGTGTAATCCCCCTGCAAACAGAACAAATCCACTGCATCAGGCTGAATTTAGGCCAAATACTACATAGAGGGAGAAAGAAAAAAACACTTCAGCTTTTATCGCAGCATACCTCATCAATTGGATCATCTTCCCCTTTAACAACTGATTTGTGCGTAAGCCTTTCCAGATGAGAATGTGCAGTTAGGAGATTTCCCAGAAGCCTCGGAGCGCCCCGCCACTCTTCGATATACCATACGTTAAAGTGTGTAAACTGTGACCACCCGTCCTCTCATCGTCACCACTTTGTTTTTGTTTTTTTGCTCAACTGCTCCTCTGGGATTCGTCCTCTCGTTTTCACGCAAAGGTTAAGAAGCAAGAGGTAAAGATGCACAGGAATCCTCAGTGTTAATATTAGAAGAAGGGATTGCCTCTGTGTTCACTCCTTAATGTGTTCAACACCTCTGTGGGAAAAAGAAGAGACAGAAACCTGTCATGTCATGTCTCACTTGTTTTGTGTTACAGAACCAAAGCTCTCTGCAAACTTTATTTTTGTACAATATTCATTTTATAACTTTTTACAGAATTAAACTTGTTTCTATTAAATGACTGTGTCTCCTGGTATCGTGCCATGCACAACACTGCTCCGGTGCCAGATGTTGCTAATTTTGCCCGGGACGTGTTTATACGAGCATCATGCAAAATTGCGGGTGAAAATGTGGGTTAAATGGAGGATGGTTTGAGCGATGGCCTCTACGCTAGCGGCCGTCCTCTTCTGTTCTGCATTCCTGAACGCCAGCCCAGGGTCGTACAGTAAACAAAAGCGAGCGGGGAAGCGCCACTGAGCTGTAAATCAAGGGGCTGGCGAATGTTTCCACTGTGTGAGGAAGATATGTAAATGCTGATGAGAAAACCGCAGCAGAGGTGCAGACAGTGAGTCAGTGAGCAGGGGCTCAAAGTGTGTACACGATGTATAGATAAGGTTCTACAAGAGCTATATAGGGGAAAGTCCATTTCAATTCTTGTCATAGAATTATACTATATGTCCATTTGCAAATCTTTGGACCTCAAAGTACTGACAATTAGAATAATGCAGTATTTCAATATTTGAGTCTTAAAGCTGTGAATATTGTTTTCTTGCATCACTGAAAAGAAGTTATTTAAATTCTGAAGCCTAATACATTTTAAAGAACCTCAGATAAAACTGTGTTTTCATCCTCATTTTTAGTTTTAAGAAGTGAGAAAATGAACTACCAGAAAACGGCTACCAGGTGGATGTACATTATTGTTACAAAGCATATTAGTAGTTCCTGGTGAGAACTGCATCAAAAGCAACTGAGACATTTAAGTCAGGCACGTTGTAGCTTGTGCACATGATTTATTTAGGCGATCGTCCAGGGACACCACAGTGTGTCCACATACCTTTATGTATAAGGCAGAACACGACATCGCTAAGCAACGCACAAGTTAATGATGCTCTCCTCTGTACAGTGAGTTTAAGTCATTAGTTGCTCACACCTGTCTGAACGTTAATATGTCCGCAAGTCTCCACTACGTCCTGCTGAAGGACACACTGAGCGTTTCAGCTTTTGTCAGTCCCAGCATGCACCTGTTTGTTACACAACATGGCAGGTGTGTTTGATTTGGGACGTGGTCGCCGCGTGGTGCATCAGATCAGCAGCTTGTTCTACGCGCCAGCTGCTGTTTTCATTTTCACGTGTTGTGTTCTCAAACGTATAATCGTAACATCCTCGTGAGGTGCTGGATTTTACTCTGACGTTTTAATTAATTTAAGTTTTAAAAATAATATTCTTGCAGTGAAATTGTCTGTAGAGGTCAAGCTCTCTTCTCCTCATACACATGATCACATGGTGGAGAGGATCTTCTGCCCCATGAAGACTGATCTCCTCCTTTCTACTTTCACTGCACTTTAAAACACTGTCACTGCCTCAGTCCTCCCATAATTCCCATCCTGGTATTTCTTTGTCTCATAGAGATTTTATGGCCAGCGGACGTTTGCCAGGATCCTGAGACACTCGGTTGTCTGCTTGTGATTTTGGTCGGGTGGGAACGACACAGGCTCATTCTACAGTTTCTCCCATTGTTAGTCACAGAGTACTAACACCAGCTCATTGACAGTGTTGAGACTCTCCACATCTGAACATCAGAAGATAACATCAGATGTCAGAGGGAGTCTCTGTCGTCTCGTCAACAAAAATCAAAGCCATCATACGGTGACATGAACAATGTGACTCAAGCTGTGTTTGAAACACTGGCATGTTGTGGGAAGAGGTTTCATTCCAGAGAGATGTGCAAAGAACTCCAACATGGGTTTCATTAGGTCTGCATGTTGCGGGTGGTTTTCTCTTTCAGTTAAGATACATATTGACACTGTGAAGGTCATTCGAGGTATTTGAACAGAAAGAGAAATTCCACATCATTATGTTTTTCAACAATAATCCAACAAACAAATAATGTATAGTTGTGGCCACACCTACGTTTATGATAAAAACTTAGGCATGAAAGCAACTTAAATGTGTATTTTACAATCCTAACACCGGTTTCATGGACTTCATTAGCAAATTAAAAGCTAAGGGGTGACTGTGAGATGTAGTTCAAACTGAAAAAGTTAGTTGAGATATTTTGTATTAGAATGAAGATAATTAATTTCAAAACGTAACCATGATTCATCAGTGTTTATTTAAAATAGGGAGTTTGTACCGTGTATCTACAGGTTTGAGCTAGTGCCTTAAAAACAAAGATATTTGGCTGAGGAATTTATTTGATTAGCTGATAAAAACAGATTATTATCTCCAGATTTCACTAAGGATAAAATATATCACTGTTAAACAAGTTAACACTTGTTTCTTTATATCAAGGTAGAATCCAATATGTAGAAAAACCTTAATTAGCAGATACCTGGATGAATTCCTGTATATCACGTTTAACAAAACAGTTAACCTTTAAAACATTCTCCACAGGCTGATTTAAAACAGGCTGATTTATTTGCATTTCTTTGCATTTTGCAAACTTCTGTGGCAGACTGTTCTTCATAGTTCATGAACAGAACCAGACCACAAAATCTGGAGCTGATTTAAGAGGCATTAGCCAACTCTGGAGACGTGTGAGGACAATAGAAACTATGAAAATAAAGGCTGTTCAATCAAAACAGACACAAAAATCCAAAAAGCTGATGAATTTCAATGAAAAGAAAATAAACTCGTTTAAGATTATATGATGTTTGCCAAGTTCAAATGCCTGCACGTTAATGTGCTGACGCTCAAAACAGAAGCAAACATGCACACTTAAA